CCGGATAAATGTTCCAAACAGTCGACCGCAAAACTCCTCCTCAAGGCTAAGGAAGGGTCTCTTGCGATAATGAGTGTGTGCACTACCTTCGTCGAGTCAGATCCCATGTTTGAAGGAAGAAGACAGAAGGAACCTGAATGAGGGGGTTTATTGTGCACAGAACCCGGAGGTGTCCTCTCAGTTGACAGTGGCCACTGGCGAAGCCAGGGATGGTGTTGACTGCGTCCAGTCAGGCCTGAGAGTCTTTGAGACAGTGGTGGCAGCCGCTTTTGTAGGCTCATGGGCCAAGCTCAAGTGGTGTCCAGTCAGCGTGTGTTGCATTTGCCGAGGGGTGGTGTCCCAGTGGCTTGTTTTGCTGGTTGCAGGGGGTGGCTCGTTCAAGTGGCCGCCTGGGCAGCTGCGACTGCGCGGACGCAGGTATGCCCGAGCTGTTGGTTGTGTGACTTCAGGTCACCTCGTCTGGGACGGCTCGTTGCAAGGGATGAATGACCTTGAGGCAGCGAGGTCTGGAACAATGACGCCAGACTGGTCATGATGTCTGGCTGTTACAGCTCCCCGCCAGACACAGAACGAAGTGATTGTGTCGATCGTGAGGCAGACGATAATGTGTGTGAAATAAGCCAGTGCACATGCGGGTTTGAGAGCGTGTGTCAATGATAGTAGTAGCTAGAACCGCGTGTCAAAGGGGATGCTGCGACCTGTAGAGAGGTGCATTAGGGGCATCAACCCTGGGTGTGCTGGCGTGGTCTCGTCAACGTGTGCCGGTGAGTTGGCACGTTGGGACGAGACAGAAGAACGTTTCGAACACTAGAAGTCCCACTGAGTGCTGAGTTGGACGAATGCGTCAGTGAAATAGGTTCACTGTCATCGAGACACAAAATTGGGAGAGAATACAGTGTCGAAAGTGGATATAGGCAAAAATGCTGACCCCAGGTGTTAATATGGAAGAGGAGGACGAGGCGATCTCTGGGGAAGAAGGTTTATTCATCTGACGTTTCGTGTTCATGCTCGAGCATGAAAGTGTGCAAGTTCATCGCTGTATATACGGTAGCATAATGAATGTATGCAAATGACTCACGAATGACGATTTTGTCGGTAATGGGCGGAAGAATGTCTTGAACAAAAGAGATGATGTTGAGATGGCAACACATTCGTAGGACTGCTCTACACAGTTTGATTGTGGTTTGACCTGGACTTGTATGGTTGAGTTTTGCAGACGACATCAACCTCGAATCGCGACAGGGTGACGCAATTGCGTTTTCCTATCCATGGGCACGATGAGTGACACAGGAAAAGCTGCAGGGCGAAGTTGAGTGGGAATTTTGTGGCGGTTGATTTCAGCCACGTCTGGAGATTGCGCGTCGATCACGTCGGGTCAACAGTTGTGATCAAGCGGTACGAATGTAGATATTCTGAACGCCACCATCATCAGGGGAAATCCTATGTTGAAAGGAGAAGACAGAAGGAACCTGAATGAGGGGGTTTATTGTGCACAGAACCCGGAGGTGTCCTCTCAGTTGACAGTGGCCACTGGCGAAGCCAGGGATGGTGTTGACTGCGTCCAGTCAGGCCTGAGAGTCTTTGAGACAGTGGTGGCAGCCGCTTTTGTAGGCTCATGGGCCAAGCTCAAGTGGTGTCCAGTCAGCGTGTGTTGCATTTGCCGAGGGGTGGTGTCCCAGTGGCTTGTTTTGCTGGTTGCAGGGGGTGGCTCGTTCAAGTGGCCGCCTGGGCAGCTGCGACTGCGCGGACGCAGGTATGCCCGAGCTGTTGGTTGTGTGACTTCAGGTCACCTCGTCTGGGACGGCTCGTTGCAAGGGATGAATGACCTTGAGGCAGCGAGGTCTGGAACAATGACGCCAGACTGGTCATGATGTCTGGCTGTTACAGATCTTCTGATCACTTCCAGAATGCCCATAGCCTTTGTCATTTTGGCGCAGTGAGACGAGTGGTTGAGAATGGTCGTCATCCACAAAGATAGGTCTTTTACCTCGTTTATAAGCTCGAGTTTGTGATCTCCGATGAAATGCTGATACTCACATCTCAAATCCTTTCCGTAACTAGACCTTATTCGGATGAATTGGCATTTTTTGAAATTGAAGTAGAGAAGGAATTTATCACACCACTGTTGCAGTCGATCTTATTTGGTTTGCGAGTTTTCAGTCGAACTCCCCATCTTCGGATCATCAGCGAACTTTACCTTCTCGCAGGTTTGACAATCTAGGCAATCGTTCATATATATTAAGAACAGAAGGAGGTCCATAGCGCCCCCTGGAGGAAGGATTTTGTGAACTGTTTCCCACCTTGATTTGGCGTCCCCAATGCGCACACGCTGACGTCGGCTTGTGAGGAAGTCGGCCAACCACTTGAGTAGGTTACCAGTCACACCCATTTGGGCGCAGTTTAGATACGAGCCGTCTCTGTGACACCCTGTCAAAGGCTTTGCTGAAATCGGTATACAATGCATCTACAGAAATTGATGTGAGCAGGTTAGTGAGACAGCACCGACCACCTCTAAACCTATGTTGATGCACACTCAATAAGTCGCTCTTCTCAATAAGTCTCGTCAGTTTCTTTTTTATGATTTCTCCATTAGTTTGCGACAGAAGGTTGTGCGGCTCACAGGTCTGAAGCTATTTGTTCGGATTATCCCTCCTTTATATATACAAATTAGATTGGCTAGCTTCCAGTCAGTAGGCAAAGCCCTCGCTCTCAATGAACTTTCGAAGATCTTGAAGAATATCGTATCCGAAAAGAATCAGGGACATAGAGCAAACCGAAGTGACCAGCACCAGGCGAGGCTCCTCCCTAACTTCCCGAAGAACTTGCTTATAAACTTTCTATGCTTCTGTCGATGTTCTTTCAAACGTCATTCGACACTGGGATAATTCATATGGATCGGAGGCTGGCACAAATAACTCCACTAGGAGGTAGCAGGGCGTCGGTCATAAATTACAGACCTATATATTTGGCATTCATTTTCAGAAAAGTTATGAAGAGGATCATGGAGAGTGGATTGGTGCAATTCCCGGAAGTTCACCACTTCTTAACGAACTGCCGACATGGATTTTGGAAAGAAGGAACCTGTACGACAAACTTGCTGCAATTTTTTCAGAGCTGGATCCGAGTTCTCGATGACACGCAGGCGGTCCATATCGCCTTCGCTGACTTCCAGGAGGCGTTTGAAACTGTGCCACAGCGACAGTTCGACCGTCGATTTCGATGATGTCCACCGTGTGCCCCACAGACTGCATTGTGGAAGCAGGGCGGTGACTTACGCAGGGGTTTATAGTGCCAGTAGACTTTCGTAGCATCTACCCACACTCTCTCCTCCTCCCCCGCCTGAGCCCGGTGTCAAGACAGAGTCAAGAAGACCGGAGACGGGGGAGGCCGCAGGTGGATGGCTCGGACGGATCCTCACCTTGGCGCTCCACTCCGCACCCCCTGGTCCACACACAAATGACCAGGATTTTGACCACTAAACAATGGGGTGGCGGCAATGGTCCAGTTGAGCGACGAATGCCGACAGCAGGGTCCGCCAGCGCACCCCGGGAATGTTGGCATTTGTTATTGCGCATAGATAACGCCTGCCAGAGTCCGATGTGGCCCCCGTGTTGGTCCAGCGCATCTAACACGTGGCCCGTTTAGAGGGCACAGCTCAGACAATCCGTTCATTCTTTAAGAGTGGTAAAAAGCTTAATGTCCGTATTGTACTCCATCAAGCGTGCATTTATGGATTTTGAAGAAGAAGTCTTGTCAAGGATTTTTAGAGCACTCATGTGGTCGCACTCAGAATACGGCATACAAGCCCGGGGATCGTGAGCGGTTTAAGACCAAAATTGCCTCAAAATAGTTCAGAGGAGAGCCACGAGGATGGCTAGGAGCCAAAGTTCATTTCCTCCTGCGACCCGCTTAATTAGTCTGAACTCCCTCCCTTTCAGTTTTAGGAAGCTTCGCGGGGATCTTCTGCAAACATTCTGCATAGTGACGGGGTTAGACGGCAGCCTGGCCTTCGAAAACTTATGTGAATTTGCTACCACGACCAAACTCCGAGGTCATCCGTTAAAACTGCGCAGTCAGCAGGCAAGGCTGGATGTGTGGAAGTTCTCCTTCTCTGTCAGAGTGGTGACACCATGGGTTGTCCTCCATGCAGATGTTGCGATGTCGCCATTGATACAAAACCTTAAAAGGAACCTTGGCAAAATAAAAAAAAGAGCGATAAGAGACCGAGCTCAACCCCTGAGACTCACGCCCAACCTGTCACACCTGTACAGGCCCATTTGAATTATTTCAACGCACATATTTTCTCTGTGCACCACCACCAATTTAACGTTGCGAATAGCTTACCCGAAGGGTCGCGCCTATAGCTTTCAATAAGCTGAAGTGGACCGTAAACGCATTGGGATGCACCTGAATTTTCATGATGTACTTCTATCTACCTATAATTTCGTATGTTAGGTTTTAGTTCGTCCCGTTTTCTGCTCGTAGAAGCTATCGTTTTACATTCACGAAGCTTGGCTTTCATTACATCTGTGTGTCTTCTACGTCGTCCCAACACCCGTTCTATGCTCTTGCTGGGCACTACCGGCTTAAGCATGCGTATTCAAACACAGATGGATACACGCAGAATGACACCGAAATATCTAACAATATTTCGATTTGCCGATGATTCGTACGTCTTTTAGTTCCTCTTTTAGGCACTTCCTAATGCCTATTTTGTGGTCCGGCATATGCGGGCACTTCTGCGAGCTTAAATTGAAGTCGACCAAAAGGCTTGCAAATGACCACTGCTTTTAGATTTAAGCGGGAGACCTGCTGCATTGTTTCTCCCGTCCTATGCTTAGTCCTTTATTAAATTAAGCTAGCTGAACTGGTTTGTTAGTCATGATCTCTCTTTAATAGACATCTTCAGTTAATTTACAGATACCGCTCATGACCGATGCTTTTACTGGGCTGTATCACAAAGAAAGAAATCGAAAGGCTGCCGGCCGTGGTCCGCTTTAATGTTCCGGAGTTTGTCCACTGTTTTGCCCAAAACACAAAAGCATGGATGGCTCAGACGTGTTGGACAGGGCTTCGGTAAGGCTTGCTTCAGTTTACCTTGCTATCGACGTATTTTTTTGAAATACCATCGTAAAATCTCTCGATTACATATATTCGTTTGCATTCTTTTCTGATAGCATGGCCAGATATACTTTTAGCCGCTTCAGGCAATAGTAAGCATTCTAATTTGCCCCGACGGCAGCGCCCTATAGGTTTGCGCGGGCCTACACGTGCAAACCTGCACAGTACCCACCCCTTTTCCCCTCAGGGGCATTTCTGCAGCTCGTAACCCCAGACATTTAGTAGCCTATCCAATCCTGGACGTCTGCAGTTCCGCCCGTCAGATGGTGCGGGCGTGCGTGTTGGACACCAAAATGTTATCAGAGTTTGAAGGGGCCAGTTTCTCTTCTGAAAATGTCTTCTCATTTTTGCAATTCTTTACGTGATACCCTGATAGCAAGCCATATTGAGGCGATCTCGAGTATATATCCGTCTTTCGAGGCATGCATATCGGGTTGTTGTCCACTGATGAAAACACCTTTCTTCGAATCCCCGCAGCCGTTGGCCTTCTATGGTGACACCCAGTTTGTTAGACATGACTGCAGTCTGCTGTGCTATGTCCATATCTGTCAACCGGTCGTCCGACTGCGGTCCCCGGTAGTCTGTAGAAGAAGTCGGTGGAAAGATGACCTCTTGCCATCAAAGCGCGAGCGGCCGCCGTCGGAAGGGTAGCTAAGGACTCATGTGCATCGTGATCGTTTACAATCTTTTCTTTTAATTTTAAACAGCGTAAGTTAGTGTAACTTACTGGCTGAGATGGCGACCTTCATGGAACAGGCGTCGAACGCTGGTGACTGTCAGGGGCTCTGCCAAGTTAGTGTTAAGCCTTCGGCACCCGAGTGGCTTTTCGCAACGTGAATGACGGTTTCATTGCTGACAACTCAGACAAAGTCGAGCACTGTCGTGAGCATTTTAGGCAGCATCTCAACTTCGATGTCCAGCCCATCACATCCTTGCTTTCCTCTGCAGCGGAGTTTCTTCCCTCTCCAGCCTATGCAGTGTCATGCGACCCCTCTTCTGGAAGAGACGTCGCCGATGCTATACAAAGGCTACGTAACAACAAGGCACCCGAAAAGGACACTGACCTCCTGGCTCCATGTGGGGATTGAACAAGCGTGGAGGCACGAGGTTTCTCCGATGAATGGTCCTTAGGCACTCTTGCACCTATCTTCAGGAAGGGAGATAATAAAAGATGCGAGCACTAATACTGCATAAGCCTTATCGACGTTACAGCGAAGATCTTCAGTACTGTCCTTCTCAGGCGATTCCAGACTGCATGCCTATAGGACGAGACCCAATCAGGCTGGATTCCGTGAACGACGTTGCTGAATCGGTCGGTTTATCCATTAACGCTGGGAAGACTAAAGTGTTTTCAAGCTTCATCCCTAATCAGGAGAAGACAGCTCTCGAGATTGGTGGCCGTCATCCCGAAGAGGTAGCCAGTTCTCAGTACCTCGGAGCGAGGCTGCTGCCGAATGGACAGAGTAAAGACGACGTTGTCTCCAGAATTGATGCTGCCCGCTGGGTTTTCTCAAGCTTTAAAATCCCTATGGATCTGACGCGACTTCTCCATCGCCACTAAGATTCGCGTGTACCGTGCATTTGTCCGGTCTGCCCTTCCATATGATTGTGAATACTGAGTTGTGCGGATAGAGGACGAACGAAAACTGGAGGTATTTGACCATCACTATATGAGGGCCATCCTTCGAATAAAGTACACCGACTTCGCCTCAAATGAGACAGTCCTCATTCGCTACGGCAACATCGTAAGGATAACTCAGACTGTCCAAGAAAGACGACTGAGGTGGTCTGGGCGTGTTCTTTGTCGTCCACCTCAAGAGTTCAGTGTAACTTCCCTCGATCCGGCACCGTTACCTCACTGGAGGCGTCAAAGAGGGGGTTAATTCAAAGCCTGACTCGGCACAGTTCTTCAAAACATGGAAGTGGTTCCTGGACCTTCGGTACTCGGTGTCCGTCGTTGCAAAGTAGTATGGGTCGAACTGTCTAGATCTGTTGCCGCGGATCGTCACGCGTGGAGAGGTACGGTTCGGGACATCACTAAGGCCGACTAGATCAGGCATGATCGCAGCCGTACGAAGTATAAGTAAGTAGTAACTTGCCGGCGAGTATATGTTTTCACCACCGGATTGGCATAGTGTCTCGTCCAGTGTTGAATGTAAGAGGCTCCCAACAGCGTTCTTGAAGACATGTAGAAGTTCTCAAACGTGAGCGCGTGCTATATTGCATCGCAACGTCCAGGTATATACACGTGACCACTATTAATGATAATGGTCCTAGTGTTTGATGCGTCGTCCAAGCATCCAGTATGAGTACATTCTAAATCACTTACCAGGAATGATGTCTTTCTTTCATTTCCCCCAAATTTAAGGGAAGAAATTCAACTAAATAATGCACTTGGAGAGGAGTCTTCCGGCCTGTGTCTCCTCAATTTCCCGGACCAGTATTTTGGTCCAGCCGGTGAATGCGTATTGAGTAGGACGGCACTTTCTGAAGGATCTGAACAATGCTTCAGTAGATCTCGACTAAATACGACTATATTGAGCTTGATAACGGCCTTTTAAAGGATATCTGATATCCACCAGACGAACAGTTTGTCAGTTTGTCACATTTGACTTTTCGCCGCTTTAATTTTCGTTTTATTTTTTGTACTTAGTTTTTGACTCGTGTTGGGTTCCATCTAACATCAGGCACACAACAGTGGCCAAGAAATGCGCACAGCTACAAAACTGAAAACCTATATGCCGGTGTAACCTTGTGATGGGAAAGCGTTTTAAAACCCCAAGAGTATGACAGGTCGTGTTGCAACGACTATTAGTTAGATTAGTGGGTAATGACATTATTGCATCGGCCTCAATAGGCTGGGCTACTTGGGACCCACAGATGGTCCGAACTCGTACCAATTATATGCGCAGAAGAAAGTTAGTGGAATTTTTCACAGTCTTTAACTGCTACTTGTTCCGAGATACGGGGAAATTTATTCCTGTGCGTCTTCATATCTGTTCGTAACTTTCTTGCCTATTCTATTATAACCTTCCTGACCGCAGTGCTGTTTTTCCCCAACCTAAGTGGACTACTTTAAACGCCTCGGAAATGACTACCTTGCCGTCTTACGTGATACTGCCGACGACATTGCAAAACACCCTGGGAGAGCTGGTCTCGTCCTTTTGGCTGGCGCCAGCACCGTTGCTGTCTGTGTTTCCTGCCCCCATGAGTCCGCCTTCGATGCCCAACTCCTCAGCTACTCAGTCGATCTATGGGACACTCCGATGGACCTACAGAACCGATCGGCCGTTGCTCACATTCAATCCTGCCTCACCCATCGTTCTCATGGCCAACTTCGACATGCTAACTTTGGTTTCCTGCATATTGTTTGGCGCGATGATCGCCCTCGGCCTTGTGCTCTCTACTCCGAGATCTGTCCGTACAACTACCCAGCAGGGGGCGCCAAAAGTCCAATCCGTGGTCTCCTCAACTGTTTCCTTTATGATCAACCTCGGGACCTCCCACCCCTCACTGCTTTACAGCGTATTTCTCACGTTTTGCACAATCGCATCGTGGATGTGGGGTGCTTTGGGCGATTTTGGTTTTTGGATGCTGCCATGGTTGACTACGATATTAATGCCGATGAGTGGGCTCATGAGTCCCCGACGGCTTTGCCAGCATAGTCTCTCTGACGTCAAGGACAGTGGGGACACTGTACCTTCATCTTCAAGTAGTCAGAAGGCTGGAGACAGTACCAATCCTCCGGGAAGCACCGATAGTGTATCAGAATGCGCCAAATCACCGAAAGGAAATGAGAGTGAAAAACAGATAGGTTCAACGGGGCAGGGTGAAACAGACGCAGACGAGTGGGAGGTCGTTGAAGAGACTCTGGTGCATGTGAATTGCGTAGGAGCAATCGAACGTGACCTCATACAGCCTGGAAGGCAGGTGCTAATGGTTGATATTGACACCGAGACGCCACTTTTGCAGGTGAGTACCTAACAGCAGTTTAGTTCTATGTACAGTCCTATAGCGGAGCTGTTGCTTTTATGGGCGGTGCCTTGTATTTATAGTTGCAATGCACGCAGCCCCACTTCCAGTGTGTTTCAGACATCTGAAGCGGCTGGCTGACGCACGTTCCAGCCATCAGATGTTGTGGGGAGTTGCCGGTATTTGATCAAATATATGGATTACGTGAGCCTGGTAGTCGTCTGGTGGATTCTAGATGAATTACTTAGGAAATCCTGCTTGGCCAGTCAACTTATTGTGTCAGATTTGGTGGATTCTAGACGTTGCAGTAGGTTGGGCGGGTAACTTGACCCAAATGCGACTAAAACTCGCGTCTTCCGGCGAGGCCTCGTAGTTCAGGTGGTTAGAGCGTTGGCTGTACTAAAGCCTTCCCCTTACTGTCGTGGGTTCGAATCCCACCGAGTCGCTGAGTTTTTCAAAGTTAGGTCAGTATGGATCAAATATATATCTGCGACGAATGAGTACTTAAATGGTCTGGGTGGTTTTTTCTTCCCTTAATTAGTGATCATCAGTTTTCTAAGCCCACGTCCAGACTATTTAAATGTCACCAGGATGAATAAAGCCCTGTCGACACCGCACCCAATTAAAAAATGACAATGATGACGATGGCTTTGAGGACACTTCACCTTTCATATAGGTAACCAGTGAATCAATGTTTGCAGTAGATGCAGTCCGTCTCTGTCCGCTGCTGACCGGTTAATTTTTTCAGTTAAACAGAAAACAAATTATTTAGTCTTGGCGTCCACGTGCCGACGGATTGCGTTTGACAGATTTTAAATCTAGATGAGAGTGACATTGCCGTACAGCATGGGGACACAGAAACGTCTCTTGAAGTTTCTATAATTCCCACTACAGATCCTACATCTTTTTTAAATTGGGAAATGCATTGATGAGCGCTGACTCTTGAATAGTGGAAACTCCTGTAATGTGGATTTATGGAGTTCTCAGGTCATCCAAACCAACTTTCCGGTAATATTAAAGAAATGTTTAGGCTTTTTGGAAGAATTTTGCTCCGAACTAGATTAAAGTCATAATGGGCGATAGGTCATCACAGCTTCAAGGAGGAGCACCTTATCCATCTCGTCCACTTGTTCGCTCGCATCTTTAATAATAACTAAAAATGGCCACTCGGAATTGGGCAACTCTTGGAGAATTTGTTGCCCCGCTGCATCAAGGTCATTCGCCTTCCGGGCGAGTTGTTCTGGACGCACTAATCTCAATGTTTGGCGTACGTAAGTCCAGTCAGGGACGACCGCCCACGCGCCACGCGGTAACCTTAGTCTTTGTCATTAGTTAGAGTCCTCCCGTACTCAGCGAAAGATCGCACCCGGCGCATTGCTCACTAACCAGATTCTAAATATAGCACTTATACACCAATTGTCAGACACCTCTAGTTCTCGCAGTTTTTCAGCATACAGTAGATGACTTTGGTTGCGGTTCATGCGGTCGGGTTTTGCTGTTTTGTCGAATTTCGGACAGAGTTTCAGGAGACGCCAGAACGGGCTACGTACAGGTAGTGTGGCATATTTTTGCCCTGGCAGCGGACGCAAGATAGACTTACCATCATGGAAGAGGCGTGAATTTTTTTGCATTTTGGGATCTTTAAGTTCCTTTTTTGTCTTGAAGCATTTTGTTTCGGGCCGAACTTCTGGGACGTAGGTGAAGAGCTGATTGCGCCGGAATTTCCGGAATGGACAGTGCTGTTAGAATGACCAAGACTTGAAACGATAAATTTTACCCTAGCTGCTCTTATAGAGTCCCCCTGATATTGACAACTGGCCGACTGTGATAGTTTATCGGTCTCATCACAAATAAACTGTGTTCAAAAGTTTTTTAAAACTCTTGTCGCGGTCAGATCTTTAACCACGGTAGTATCATCGACGCATGCAGCCTAGAGCGTCGATCGGCAATTGGTGGAGACCGGATATTGATGTTCTTATGTGCGTGTTCATAATTTGGTCGTAGGTATATCTGTAGGCGTTTAAGCCCGTTTCTGGACTATACCCTCTTAGTTTGGATAACATGTTGGTGTGTTGCTTGAGATCGCCAATAACACGACAGTGTGCGTCAAACTTAACCTTATCACCAACTTTTCAAATAACTTCTGTGCTGCCTAACTGTTATTGACATTGAAAAAACAATTAGTTCTGCTAGCCAAATTTTGTCTATTTGACCAATATCCTAAACCGTTCACATTGTGATTTTAAGTGTCTAAATAACATCTACTTATACTGCTACAAGTAACCTTGAGTTTCCCAATTTTGTTTTAGATTGGCCAAGCTATTTTCCAGGGCACTTACAAGCAAGCGATTGGCACCAGTTTATTGTTCGAAAAGCACGCCCCCACTTCTGCAAAAGACTCCTCTGAAAAGTCACTCACCGAAAGCATCGGTGTTTTTTCAAGTTTCCCAAAGCCTTCTTCGCGCCCCCAGTTCACCTATTTTGGCAAAACTTCTAAATTACTAGATCTCCAGCGTGTATTTTTAAAGCCCAAGGAAAGTGCGGAGTAACCTAGATCTTTGGGCCCTCCCCTTGTTTTTCTGTCGCCTACTGTTTTTTACAGATGCCCGAATTATTTCAAGCGGACTTTCTACCCCCTTTTAATGTTTGTACGAAGCCTGACTGCCCTTGTATTTAGACGATATTCACTGCCCTTAGGTCACAAATGGAATGCATTTTTAAGAGCTTTTAATATGTGTAATTTTAAAAGGTTACATTCATTTCGGTTTCTTTGAGTAGCCATATCGTTCTTCATAATTTTAGGACTTATTAAAATCCACTGATAGCTTTCTGGAGACCCGACAAAAGGTGCAGTTCTATTAGGTGTTAGAGCAAGCGCATTCACGAAATTTTCCAGTCTTTGAAAGTTTTGTTTGTTTGTTGGACGTATGTCCTCTGCTGGTCTGTTTTACGCCCCGAAAGGCCGCCTGATTCCACGGGCCTTATGCGTCTTAACGATACCTATCCAAGTTGCTTTCTGCGCCATGCCTCCAGCTTTGGCCCTGGTGCTCTTAATGGGTTTTTATCTCACTGAATGTTAGAGCTGTAGAATATCATCGCGACCAGCAGCTTCCTCATCGGAGCCTCCGCACCAGTCTCCGGGTCTGCCGGAAGGGTCATACATTATTCCAGATAAAAGTTGTCGCTGTAAACATCTACTACAAGTAATGTCAACAACTGAGCTTCTCAAGCAACAAAACTTCTCGAGAGAATCGGACAAACATGCTGTATTCAAAGAAGAAGCTCAGGCTTAGTACGTTGCTTCGCCTATTTACTGGGGAACATGTTTCTGGGACGCACTCGAACGGCCAGTCTCCCAGGTACGCGCTGTAGGATCCAATCACTGGGATGTCCGGAGGGCATGCTTGCTGGCCGATCCCTTACAAAACAAGTGTTTTGGCAGATCGACGAAGCACAACATTGGGCGCGAATTCCTGTGGTCATTGGTCCAATCATGTTTCTGGACGCGTATTTTCTAACCAAGTAATGTAGTGTCTAGACAGATGAATAGTTAATTAGACCTCGTAGGAGCACGCGGCAATTCACCGAGCGCCGTCGTTGCTCCCTAAATGCGGCTTCAGATAAGGTATCCCGGGAGGGGCGTCAGAAGCAAAGCATAGAACTCCGGATGCGTCATACCTCTTGAAGTTTTAAATTTTGATCGAAAATCCCCCTGGTCGTTGGCGAACATATTTTCCTTAAAATGCAGGTCATTCAGTCTGGAAACGATCGGGATACTCACTTATTCGGGGAATTGAGTAGTTTTAAGAATAATGACTTCCTAGAGCAAAGTATTTCGACTTCTGTATATACGCGTATATATAGTTTCTTGAAGCCATGCTCTCAAATGAGCCGTATTGAGGCGCATTGAGTTGGATGCCTCGTGCAAAAATCTCGAGGAAAAATGAATGCGACGAGGACCGATCGATACACAACGACGCCTATAGCAGCCGCTTGCTGGCTCAGACGCTGAAAAAGTGTCGATTTTTAGGCAGGTTTGAAATGTTAACTGCTTGCAGCCAATTTACCCGACGTCTAACGACGACCCGGTGAATTAGCGTCGAAAATTTACTTAAGAAAGTCGCCAAATTTTCCCAACGGATGTATTTAACTTTCTACAAAATTCTATTCAATACGTGGACGTTTGCAATCATGAGGGCCTGATAGTGGTAGCGAAACCTCGGGCGAATAGAGCGAAGACTCCGCACTCTACATGTCCTTGTAAACTGCTATATTGCGCACACACCACTGCTAATGTACCCGATTACTACCGACAGGACAACGAACTTGTGGCTCGATGGTAGAGGAACACGCAGCGATCGCGTTACGGGACATACTCGTCCTGTTGTGCCTTGGGGCTCAGTCTTGAAACCGGGATGGATATTGCTGGCTTGTTAGCCGTCAAATGTGCCCTATGGCAACCAACGGCACAACGAGACCGTTGCCCGATGGTTAGGGGCGTTGGATTTCTAACGAACAGATCGCGGGATCGTGTGCCAGGACTCGCGTATGGCTGGCGGACGACGAAACGGCAATCCCAGTCTCCCTTCTCGTTGTCCGAGATGTTACTCTGCCTACACTTCTAGCCCCGATTCGGTTGCTGGAAGGGCTCGAGACTGATCCCCAAGGCACAACGGCACGAGAGAGTCCCCTGACGCGAACGATGGGCGCGGTCCCGGCATGACAGGGATTCTGAGTACACAGGCTATTTCTAGGGCCTCCATATCAAGGATCCAGTCTCGCGGAGGCAGATGAATGTGATTGAGCTTCCTTGTAAGATTTTCGTAGACTTCTCATGTCTCCGTTCTACACAGCTGCAAAAATTGCAGTCGCAATTTTGCGAGACCAATCTAATATTAGAGACCAGAGCAAGGAAGGGCTACTCTAATCTCGAATGCCACGAATAAATGCGGCAAATGTGTCCTAGTTGTTAACCCGCATTTGCAGCATGCGTCGAACCCACTAGACGTTTTTAGGTCTATTGTCGCGACAACCTGCCCAAGGAATCTCGCTAAACCTCCGCTCTGAATTCTTCACACGCAGTGTATCAAAACACCGGAATGATTCTCTCTTTCTCAATTTGTCCACGCGGTGACGTCCTGTGTCCTTTGTTTTCCCTCGACGATCTGAACCCGAGCAAAGTGCCACGCCAACTCCAGACAGAATTTGTGTTTAAAAAAATGCTACTAACATTTTGTAGATAATAGTTTAATAGAGACAATTTCCAAGAATGCGCGTCCAGATGTACATGACGCACCAGCATGTAAATAAGTGAATAATTTTTTATTAAAGACCCGTAAGGGTCCCATCAAAGCAAGTAAAAAAATTTACATACGAATTTCAGACGAGGTAGACAGAATCTCTACAATATGTAATTCATAGTTTCTGAATTTGTAGTCCGTTAAGAAAAATGATGAACCAGCGGTGAAAAAAAAACTCCACTTAAAAATGCTTGGATTAATTTTACAAGAGAAAAAAAACCTCGCTAGTAATAGCACAGATATGCGGGCATGACTGGCCTGCATGTGGCGGTATATAACCGATTATAATAGGACATAGTCAGGGCAGAAATAAATGTCAGCCTTGAGAACTAACATCGTCAGGGCAGGACTGATAGGCCAGATGAGACAATTCGCTTCAAAGAGGCCAGACGAGAGGAACCCAGACGGGATGGCCCACAGTCCGCCTCGAGCCCAGCCGAGGAATGCGGAAGGGAGGTACGACCAATCTACTAGTAGACGGTGAATACTGAGAGTTCCACCGTGAGCGTCGACAGACCGCTTGAGATCGAAATGAGCGAGATGACATCAAGAACCGCGAAAATCGTCGCTAATCAACAGGGTCTTCAAAGACACCTTCACCTAACATAGTCGAGCCCATGGAGCGGGGCCGGGTCGTGCGTGGCACATGTAGACTAGCTGTTAAGCCAGTTCCCATTAACAACTGGCAGGCTGAGACAGTCGAGTGGTGGCGGGGGAGTGGACGATGTCGACACTGGGGATTGAATTCTCGTTCCGAAGCAGCGTAGCATTTGAATCTATTGCTACTTTGAAGTCTACCAGCAGACGTGATAATTCTGCCCTTTCAGGAATGAGATCTAGGGTGCAATGGCTCCTCCCAATGTGAACCTTATGGCCCTCTGAGTCAGGTGAACTTCAAGTCCCCCCCTCTCCCCATAAAAACCTGATGCTGTGTGGCGATCGGGTCGTTTATGGCTCGCGTAGACGGACAGTTAAACTATATCCGTCTCCACGTCCGAACCCTCCTGTAGTTTTCTTGGCATTGTCCTCTCATCGAAGCAAGGTGGATGAGGGAGGAGAGAGTGCGACGAATGCTACGCGAGTTTGACTCACTATAGACTACTTCATGGGCAAGTAGTCAGCGCAGCGTTCACACCGAGGGAAACACAAGATGAACGTCGTAATCTGCAAAGGCGTGGTTATCTATGAAATATTGACCGAAATTCTGAAATGTGTTTTCGATTAAAAAGTATTTTTTAAGGAGGTGGGGTGGTGTTACATTAACCAGTGAACAGCAAAATCCGAAGGTATTTCAGTCGCGGCAGTATACCGACTTGCAAAGCATTTTCTTTTCGGCCGCCTGCAAAACCACTACTTAAGTAGTCGTTTTATATCGAACGTGGCTTTGTCGACCGCGAGAGGGAACTAATTTGAAACTATCTTGGGATTATACTGCTCGATGGTATTACATCCCTACCTACAGTCAATGACCGGTCTCATGAAATGCTAACCGAATTTCTGAAATACGTCATCGGTTAGGAAGTATTACTTAGTAGGTGGGGTTATCATACTGACTATCTTGCGACACAATCCCGTGGTATTATAGATAGGCTAGGATGCCGACTTCTGAATGCGCTTTTTTCAGTCTGTAAAAAAAAGTGGCTACTTCTGTAGTACGTATTATCTATATCGATTTTTAATGCCCTAAAATATCCAAATATCATTTTCAGAGAACCTCTATAAAAATGTCATTTCTTGCACTCGAACTCCATCTGCCATTACACTTTTGTCAGGGGTTTTCAGTCTACAAGCTGCATACTTTCCGCGTAAAGAAAAACTTAGGTCCCTTTAGGCCATTAAAAAATACCATATGGGGCCCTTACAATGTTGTGACGTTTATGGACTTTTTCTACCTAATTAGGAGTATTGTAAAAAGACTGTTATAATGCTATTTGAATGGACATTTCACGACATTGAAAATATTATAACTTGAAACTTTTTAAAACCGAAAGATATCCTATCTCCGAAAATAAAATCTAAAGAAGGCCCAATCTGCTATCAAATGGATTCAAAAATATTTTCGTGCAAGTTTTGCGAAATATCTTTGAATATAAAGGGGCAACAAAAAACCACGGAGATCATGCATGCTACTGAAGTAGTCATTTTTAACGAATGCGGTTCTCGCAGGCGGTCAAAAAGAAGTGCTCCAGAGGTCAACATTCTGACGTATCTGAAATGTAACAGCATTATGCCACGGGATAGTCAATGTT